TCTCCCTCATGAACTCTTGATAATTTATGAATTATTATTATTTTGTCATGTTTTACTATTTTGTCATGTCTTATTATTTCACCCACTTTTCTGTTGTCCATCCCCCAGGGAGGGGGTTAGATGTACATACTTATAATTGGTTCCCCCATTCTACCCCACCTTTCCTCTACTCTCCTGATATTGCCACTCTCATCACTGGTCTTGAAGGGATCATTTGTCCTGGATTCCCTGTGTTCCAGTTCCTACCTGTACCAGTGTACATCCTCTGGTCTAGTTGGGATTTGTAAGGTAGAATTGGTATCATGATAGTGGTGGGGAGTAAGCATTTAAGAACTAGAGGAAAGTTGTATGTTTCATCATTGCTACACTGCACCCTGACTGGCTTGTCTCCTCCTCGCGACCCTTCTGTAAGGGGATGTCCAGTTGTCTGCAGATGGGCTTTGGTTCCCCAATCTGCACCACCCCCTCATTCACAATGATATGATTTTTTTGTTCTGTGATGCATGATACCTGATCCTATTGGCACCTCATGGTCACACAGGCTGGCGTGCTTCTTCTTCCATGTGGGCTTTGTTGCTTCTGAGCTACATGGCTGCTTGTTTATCATCAAGCCTTTAAGACCCCGGATGCTGTATCTTTTGATAGCCAGGCACCATCAGCTTTCTTCACATTTGCTCATGCACCTATTTGTCTCTAGCAATCTTGTCAGGAAGGTGAGCATCATGGAATGCCAGTTTAATAGAACAAAGTATTCTTGCATTGAGGGAGTACTTAAGTGGAGGCCCCAATGTCCATCTGGTACCTAATACTAAACCTATAAATATATGCACATAGATCTATTTCTCCATCATAATATATAAATATATTTACATATGTACATGCCTGTATTTACCTCTATAAATGCCCTTTGCCTCCTAGTTCTTTTCTCTATTTCCTTTTACTTTCCTCTTGTCCCACTGTCGTCATGCTCAGCCTTCATTTGGGTTTCAGTAATTTCTCTTGGTTACATTGCTTTTGATCACACCCTTCCAGGCCTCTTACACCCTCCTTGCCACCGATTTTTGGATCACTTGTTCCCTTGTCCCTGGGTTTGTTAAAACTACTTCCTTTCCCCTACCTCCCCATCTCCCACATCCCCCACAGACCCATAGGTCCTGTTGTTTTCTTCTCCATATCGCTTATCCTGCCTATCTTACCTAGATAGAGCTGCAAAGATAATAATATGCACAAAAACAAGACAGAGCATGACAAAAGAACACAAAGCGACAACAACAAAAAAACTAATGACAAAAAAAGAGAGAAAAGCCTGTAAATAGTTCAAGGTCTGTTGACCTTTAGGAGTGTTTTCCAGTTGAGTCTGGTGGGGTGCCATGCCTTGGCCCCCAAAAGTCTTATTTTTGGTACTCCCTCGGGACTTCCTTGCTCTGCTTCACTTGCTGTTCTGTTGCCTTGGTGTGGTGGAGTTTTACATTAATTCTTTT